TAACAAATTAATTACTACTGTCAACTAGTTCAGCTACTGTCTAGGTAGAATATACCTAGTAGTAGGTAGAGTACCTACACCTACCTATGATGTAGGTAGATTAAAGCTTATTTTGACGTTACCTCTCACTTCGGTGTCACAAGCTGAATTTTTCAGGGATGGAAGTACAGTACATGATATGGGGACCCTTATTCCGAAAGTAGTGCAAAATTAGACCGGGTAAAAAGGCACTATCATCAAAAATCGATATATTAATACCACCGTATAGAGAAAACAAATACTTATTTGTTGATCCAGTACACAATAAAGTCTTCGTAGGGAGTAGTTTTTTTATATTATCTACAAAAAACATTTCCATTGAAGCGCTTATGACCAAAAACTTTTTAACATGAATAATCATTTTAATCATGCGAAAATTTGGTTTAAAAATAGATTTTTTAATATAACCTACATTTAAAGAAAAAACGAAGGCCTAAATGAAAAAAAAGAAACAATTTAAAAGTTTCGCAACATGTCTTGATAAGGTATCAAAGCAAACCCCATATTTTTTGCTTTTTAAACTATTAAAGATATATCAATAAACAATTAGCGATGTAATGGTTTTTGCGCGCGCTGGCCGACTGCCGCCGCTGCGCCGAGATTTCCTATACCCTTGTATATATGACGTCATGGTGTGGCAAATGTAGCATTTTAATTCGATTTGGGCTCCCTTATATAGGATAACAGAAACATTTTCAATGTTAATATAAAAAAATAAACGTTTAAAATCTAAAAAACATGCTTTTTCTTACCCTAATAACATAAATACTAAACTATGTAATAAGTATTATAAAACAAAATAACCTTATGAAAAAATCTTTTTTTCTGGATTTATTTTCTGCAAGAACTTGTATTATTTCTGTTGCGTCCAAATTTTTAAGTAAATCTGATCTCCTGAACAAGTTACTGCCTGGGATATATAAACAGCCTTAATGCTATTTCTAAGTTTGGAAATATTCCAGCTAGATTTTCTTTCTTAAGTTTTTAGTAAGTTTCTTGGATCCAGCGGAAGATTCGGAATATATTTAACTTGGACCATTTCGTTTTCAATAGCAATATCCAGATCATTTTTATAGCTATTGGTCAATTTCAAGCAACCTTGCTTAAGATCTTCATCACTTAAGCAGGCTAGATTGGTAAGAAACCCAAATCTTTCTCTACTTCTTGGTACGCATCTTTCCTTTTTATGAGTTCATTTATTAATTTATCTATTAAGGGAAAAATTAGATAGATTGATTTTATATCACTAACGCGGTACAGCGGGTGCGGCGCCGCGCCGTCGGAGGCGCGGCGGGAAAATCGAAATTAAACTATAAAATACAACAATAAATAATAATTGCAAATCACAATTATTATTATTATACAATTATTTTAGTTTTAGTTATCATTATTATTACGGCATAGTATGGAATACGAAATATATAAGTGACTGATTTTTAACCGTTTTTTAAAAAGCCGTTTTTTTTCTTCGGTTGAAAGTGCTTCTTAGTCTCACTTCATATCTTTTTCGGTAATCGGTTTGGTTTTGGTTGTCTTTTGACTGGGAAATGTGGCGCCCTTTCAAATTTGGCGCTACAAGCCTTGGCTTGGTCGGCTTGTACTATAATCCGCCTCTGGGAATAATAAGGGAGGCCATCATATAGATCCATTGGTCCAATTCATTGATTTGAGAAATAATAATTTAACAGAATTCTAATATTTTCGTTGTAAGTTAAGTTGTGAGGGGGAGCCCCATCTTGCTGAAAGTATATTTCACGTAAATTAGCTAAAGGAATATTTAAAAGTCCCGATACGATAGCTTCCAAGGTTTACAAACAGCGGTAGAGAGTTAAGTTTCCCTAATATATTAAGAATTTATAGTACGAGAGCTAGCAACGTCGGTAAAACAAGTATTTTAAGACGTCTGGCTCTTTGATATATCTTTTATTATGCTCTCTAGAACAGCATGCGGCCCGTCTGGCTGCCGGTAAACGTTGCGTTCCCTACTGCGCATTGAAAAAAGATCCTATATTTTTATTAGTCCTTTAAATTCTAGTATTGAATATAAATCGAACATGTCTCCATAGCGCAGTGCGTAGAGTTTCCGAAGAACAGAATATAAACGAAAATAAAATAAAAAGTATTTGACCTGACCCGGTTTCGAACTCTGAATCATTGGTTCGTGGACGGAAACTCTACGCACTGCGCTATGCAGACATGTTCGATTTATATTCAATACTAGAATTTATAGGACTAAATTAATAAAAAATATAGGATCTTCTTCCGATGCGCAGTAGTAAATGCAACGGGTATCGGCAGCCAGACGGGCCGCATTCTGTTCCAGAGAGCATAGTAAAAGATATATCAAAGAGCCAGACGTCTTAAAATACTTTCTCGAAAACGTTGCTAGCTCTTAGACTATTATTAGTGGCTCTCAAAATAAAACAGCAGTATACTTTTAATAATTCTTTAGTTTCTTTTATTATCAATCATGGCTTACTAATAAATTTGATCTTTTAATATATTTTTTTTAAATAATGCACTAAATAGTGAAAATAAATATAGAGTGATATATATTTTTGAGAAGATTATGGCAAGCCAGATCATATAATTTATAAATATACAGGGTGTTCCATTTAAGAAAACATAACTTTAGTTCATATCTTTAAAAATATTCTTTTCGTAGAATAACAGACTACGCCACTGTATTCTACCTAAAAAGTTCTACAAGAATCAGTTTTCAGCTTCTCGATCATTCATAATAACAGAGATACGGGGGCTGCCCCAAATTGCAAAATTTTCGAAAACACCCTGTAGCTCAGAAACGAAAAGGGCTATGAAAATTTTGTTGACAGCATCTTCCGTTTGACAAAAAATTGGCACAGGTTTGTGCAAACCGCACCCTTCTATCTTCACGAATAACGATGATTTCAACCAAAATAGGACACCGTGTACATAACATATGTATTAAAGAAATAACATAAATAATAATACATTTATAAAATAATACTAAATTAATATGTTTATGAATTAATTTTCGTGTCGGAAATACGAAATGTTTTCATAAAATTCTCCAATTCAAAAATCTTATAATGAAAATTAAAGCACCTTATCTTTAATAACATAGATTTTTTGTAATTTAAATTTCGTAATATATTATACGATAATATACAAAATTAAAAAAGAATTTGAAAGACCTACTAATTTATACAGGTAAGCGATACATGCATTATTATAAAGAGTAAATTAAAATCACTTATTTATTGAATACAATTTACTTGTCTAAAATGGATAATATGGAATAATATCGAAAATTTTAAAGTATGGGGAGTCATGGGAGACCAGATATCCTTAGATGAAGTAAATTGTTATGTGCGTGGATATCATTATTGTATTCAATTATTGTAGGTTGAGAAGTTTCTGAAATCAAACTTTCGTATGCGCTTTTAAGACTTCTTGAAATTCTGCTAGGGAAGAGTGATTTGAGAATTGGTAGTGCAGATACGTATATATTAATACTTACGTTAACTGTGGGCACAGGAAGGAATCATGTAGAATATCACCATATTATACAACCTCAGAGAACCAGACTTCAAATTCTAATGCCTCAAATGTTTTGTCCTACTTAACATTATAAAAATCTACTGCAGGCGGGCATAGAAATCTTAAATTCTGAGCAATCATGGACCATGAACCATGATCCTTGGTTTTCGTATACTTTCTACAATATTTGCAGCGGCGCTAAATGCTGTGATGTATTTTTTACCTTAAGGCACGCATGCATTAATCTTTAACTTGTATATAGTTATTGTTAAGCCGTGTGTGCACTAGTGCTCCCCAATAGAAGACAAATAGTCAAGATGCAATGAAGACTTGAAGGATAACATAAGAAACCCTTAATATTACCATTATTAATATGAAAAGTTAAATTTAGATTTTAATTGGATGCGTTTTTTAGATGCGAAAATACAATATTAGAAATAGGTGTTAATTTTGTCAACCCTGTAATTCTCAAAAGGTTAGACCTATGAAAAAATGCATTCAACTAATTTTGTAGAGAATTTTCTGAGGTTCAATTTTCTATATAGGGTATTTTTTCGTAGGTTTCGTATTTTCCGAGATATAAGCTAAAAAGTTATAAAAGTAACATTTAACCCCTTTCCTCTCCTCGAACTCATCGTTTATCTTCGGGGACTTTTGACACATATCAGCCCAAGTCTAGAGGAATAATTTAAAACAATTTTCAAAACTGTGGGTTTTTTTTCCACCGATTTGTCTAATTTGACTGGGCTATAATATTTGCGTACTTGGCAAGTATGCTATCTTTGTAGACAACATTTTTTTGCAACAAGCTTGGTGCTCACGCGGCGCGACGATTGCCAAATAATTGCACAAGGAAACCGCTCACACGACATGGCAAGTATATCCCAATAACAAAAATGTTTGTACAAGTACACGAGTCGTGAGAATCCGCCTTAAAAGTAATGCAGCACGCAGCACTATTCCTGTTAACGTAACGTGTAACGTGTGACGTACATTTTGCAAAAGCCTACCAAGATATATTGAGTTATATCGAAAACTTGGGGTAGAGAACTGTCTGTAGATCACAGTTACACAAAAAATGGAAATCTGAAGACTTAGAGAATGAATTACCCTCAGAGATCGGAAAAAATTAGACTAAATGACTAGCCTCTTAAAATATCAATTTGTACAGTGTACAATCGACATCGTCAGTAAATAACGCCAGTTATTGCAGGCTCAGATCTCGCATATGGGATTGGTGGGATGCCTAGTGCACTGCTTGGCAAGTAAAGAAACAAGTTGGGAACAAGGTTAGGTTAGAATTATGCAGTAAACTATACTGGGCTTATAGAGGTCCTTAATGGTAATTGGCACGTCCCTTTTGGATATAATCACCTATATCAAGAGATGCTGTGATGTGTGCTGTGAAGTGTCAATAAAGACAAGAAATGATTACGTACCATCTGTGTAAATAGGAACATTTGGAACATCAGGGTGAATGCTGGGATACCTAGGTTGCTCCTGTGGAACAACTGGTGTTTCTGATGGTTGTTCTACAGGTCCAGTCGTCAATGGTCCTTCAGAAGGTCCTAGAAAATATATAAGGTAAGAAATTAGTAAGACGGAGAACAAAAATATTCTTATATGCTAGCTTCATATTTAACACAAAATAGGTATCACAATAAATTAATATATTTTAATTAATAAATTAAAATTTCGACTTTGAGTATTGAAGTAATGGAGAGTTGGCTTTGGTAAAAGTTTAAATAACTAATTAAATTATTAACTTACCTTCAGTTGGCAATGGTACTTCGTGTTGTTCGGGTTCATCTGGAGGATTGAATCCGTTTCTAGTCGGTGGTAAGAGTACTTCGTTTCCGTCTTCTGGTTGTGGTTGAGGCTGTTCAGGAGCAGTTACTCCTCCGGTGACTGGACTAGTGGGGAATGGGAATGGTGGTTGAGGTGTCTCTCCAGCAGGGGGGTACCCAGGTTGGAAGGGGCGTGGTTTCTCTGTGTTGGCTGGGGGAAGGTACTGCCTTAAAGTTCCTTGGCGTACTGAAAACAGAAATAGTCTTTTATTTACTTATGTGTATGTTTTAAATTGTAAGTTTCAAAAAATTTGTAAAAAAATACTTCAGCAATTAACACTCTGTGATATTTTTAGAACATTGAAAAAACCTTTGGTCGAAACGTTTATCAATATTTTAATAAGTTTATGACGTATTTATTTTATTATTTATTTGACATAAGAACCTTATATTTTCCCAAGAATAACCCTTGGTATATTCTTTGAAATAACCTAAACAAAGAATATATTATGCAGAGTGCTTCTAGAAAATCCAATTTTTCTTAAATATACATTTATACTATGTGACTCTTAAGATATAACATATTTACAATTTATTTGCTAGTTTATGTCACTGTACATAAACAACTCTGTCCAACAACTGTCCAAAAAATGATTTGATAAAACTATAAAAAAATTATTTCCCTGATATGTTACAGCAATCATAGTATTACAAAAACCGTAAATTCAGCTTGACTAATTATTTAGCTTCCAATAATGACTTTTCTCATTGTTTTTTTTTGCCGTATATAACGTAAAAATAAATCATAATAAAGTTAATTTATAGTACGTTTCCGTTTTAACATACGAACTTTTACATTTTATGGTAAATTTTCAAAATCTCTACACGGAAAAATGTTCATATTAATTTATTATAAAAGTTCCTTTTATAACAAAAATTGGATATTTCTTTTAAGAAATCGTTTTTTTTTTTCTTTCTAATATAATCGTGTGTGTGTTATTAGATATGTGTTTATTAGACATTATTTATAACAATATACTTCAACTTCATATCCACATTTGCAATTTGTTGCAATTCACGTTCCGTAGCCCGAGTTCCTTACATTATTTTTGAAATCCGTTTTGCACGTACCTATTTATTACATTCGAAAGGTTTTCAGTATTTTTTTGTAAAATATAATAAAAAGTGCCACGTTTATCAATTAAAAACAATGGAAGCGAGGAAGGTATGTGAACGGTCGATGGCGATTAGGCAAAAGAAAATATAAGTAATTAAATAAAAACCTCTTTTGGGTTTGGAAATCTGCAGATCTGACGATATTATTGTTTTAAGAATAAGCAGAACACCTAAAACACAAACGTGGGATGATTTTTAAGGCTCCATACAGGGTGGTCTATTTTTTGTTGGGTTTATTTTAAATAGAGTAAAATTTCGTTTAACCGAAATAAAATAAAATCTTGTCTTATTGTCATTTAGAAGCCTTTATAATCATAAATTAATACCATGTTTACAAAATGTACAGGTGCTAAAAATGTTAATATTGCAAGCCTATCTGATTACAAAAAAAAACTATTTAAATCTTTGTAAAAGAATACATACAGGGTCCGGCAATAGTGCGTCGGGCATCTGTAGCTCCTAGAATAAAAAACTTGAGAATTTTGTTTCATTGCAAATCTACAGTATGTACGAGGATGTATTTCAGGAAAATATTTTTTACTTCTATAGGGTGGCTCAAAAAAGTGTGAGTGGCTCGGGATGAGTTTTTTTTTAAATTTAGTTTATAATCATCTGCTGATGATGCTAACATGGTTAGCGAAACGCGCGTCCAGTGTAAAAGTAAAAGTGTTTTGGTGTATTGTGGTGATTTAGTGTTTTATTTTGCTGTGTAACACCAAAGATTCCAACCCTCAACTGTAATATTCTAATATGTATATTGATAAAAGTAATATAATAATTAAAATACTAAATTATAATAAATTGCATTTTTTAGAAAAAAAAACGTTGAAGAGATAGGTATAATACAATTTGATAGACAATTAAATTGTGCATGTGATTCTCGTAAAATATGAATAATATATATTATATACTATAAGAAGTGTTTGCCTTTTGAAGCTAGTAATTATTTAACATAAATTTTTAGATTCTCTGTATAAGGTAGTATAATTTTTATTATTGCAACACAAAATCTAGTACACAGAAAGCCTTCACTACAATATTTGGTTTTAAAAACTTAAATGCGCCTAGAGAAATGAAGCTCTACAATCTACACTTATTACTGTCGGTATTTTGACAAAAACGTAAATATTTCAAAAACGGTAAGATTAAAATGCGGGAACCTCTAATCATATTTACCTTTATTTTAATCGCAGAATCTCAAAATAAAATAATATACAGGGTGTTCTATTTAAAAATATACAACTTTGATATTTTTTATTTATTTGGGACACTCTGTATCTTGTAAAAATAGTTTTAAATTGTAGATCAAAGAGTCCTTTAACAAACCCAAAACTTACAATTTGTAAAAACCTAATCGTTTAGCTACACTACTCCGTGTCGTATGTGGTAAATAACCCTGTATAGTATAAATGTCTTTCCGATGTGGGCGGATTCATCTCTCCAAAAATTCCTATATGGGTATTTTGTAATAATGCAATTTTAACAGAACGTCAACGGTTTTTGTTGACGTATCTGTTTTAAAAAAACTAAAGTGTTCTCGAATAGTTGAATTTAAATATTTTAAATAGTTTTTTTCTTTATTCTTTGTATTTTTTTGCTTTCGACGACGGAAAGATATACACTTTTCGAAACGTTAAGCATTTTTTGTTCGTTAGGCAAATTTGTATATCTGTAAACCTAACTGCTGACAAGTAGTTTCCGTTTGGATTAACGCAGCAGTGTTTGTAACTATTTTATTTTGTAAATTTTCTTGCAGTGGCAAAATACCCATATAGAAATTTTTGGAGAGAATCCTGTATAGTGTGCTGATAACGATAAAGCCGGAACCCCATTAGGCCACACGCCACGCCACGCCATGCCACCCCGCGTCATGAAGATCTGTGCGTATGTTTTTCCATTTAATTACATGTGTTGCGTACACACTAGGGCTCACGCCACCCCACGCCACCCCACGCCACGCCGTCCCACGCTATCACACGTGTGATGGGTATTCGTCTGTCCCAGATCTCATGTGCACACTCTTTCCCACGTCGCAACACGTGGGTTCACGGGGGATAGCCTGGCGTGTGGCCTAATGGGGTTCCGGCATAACTGTTATGCTGGAAGTACACACACACAAAATTAACGGTATACGAGCGGCTGTTGGTTAGAACCGTCCTTTTTTGTCGCGCCTCGGCGAGTGTGTACTTCCAGCATTACAGATATTAAGTTAACAAAACTGTAAAAAATCGATTTAGTATTAAAGTGAGATAAAAACCAACAACGAACTGTTTGTATCAACAAAAAGATTTTAGAATTTCTTTACTTCTGCTAGAGGTAGAAATTATTATATTTTTTTATTTTATTTTTAAAATGTAACTTTTCACAGATGATTTTCACAAAATGACTTACTTTTCCTACTGTTCTGTGTATAGACATTTTGAACCCACTGAAGTATGTTTTGTACCATTTGATCTGCATTAGCTGCTTGTCTCTTACCTGTAAGAATATTTTGTATCACTATATTATTGAATAAGAGATTAGGTAGCAAAATAAATAATTTTTGAAAAGAAATAGTTAAAGTTAAAACTGATACACTTTTACTAAAAAAATAAAATGATTTAACAAAAATTATATTTAAGCTTCAGAAAATTTTATTATTAATCTCTGAAATTTTTGAAGGTGTGCGTAGTATAAAAATACTTACTTATTGTTGAATTCCTATTGTTTATTGAATGAGCGTCGGATTGGATGGCACAAGTCACCAAAATGGTGACAGATATTATGAGGATTTTCATACCTGAAAAACAAACTAATTAATACATATATATATATAAACCTTAAGATCTACTTTTTTATGAAATACCATCACAGAACCATCTTATGATTTTTTGTTTCTACTTGATTTAATTACTTTGAGCTAATTATTAACGCACATTTGATATTAATATACCGGTTTTTATTTTATTTTTTTACTGTATTTCCGCAATAACTTATTCAGTGCCAGCTAACCACCTTCGTGCGATTTTGAGTATCCGCGCCTCTTCAGCGCCTATTCTCATTATATCCGATTGCGCATCTTCACTGCTGAACTAAGCTTGGGCAGGGCTTAGAGAGGCTATGCCCTCTATATGGTATATTATGGAAACAGGCTACCGGATTATACCAACAAGTTATACTCGATACTCGATAAGCGAATATCTAGGTAAGTAATCAGAGTTCCATGTAAATGATCGTAAGTGACCGCTTAGATAACGAATTGGCTGTGATTTCTACGTTCCACATTATTTCTTATTAAGTAATTTTTAATTTGTTACGATTTTTTAATTTTACATACTTATTTATTTAGGTGTATAAAACACCTCTTAATTAGATATGTATTATATGTGATATTTTTTTTGTTTTAACTTATATGTTATAATTTTTTTTCTAATTTAGTCAGGATTATATAACAGAATTTCAAACAAATTATTATTGTAATCATATTATTTCGCAGCAATAAATTTAACGCCAAATTGTTCGAAGGTTGTTTAAACAAATCACTTTACTAATTATTTCGTTCCTCCGCAGGCGCTAACAAATCGTTAAACAGGATACCAGATAACAAAGCTGGTAATTAATTAACATATAATTGGTTTATTGTACTTGTCGAATATTTTACAATAGGCACAGTTAAGATGTCTACGATTTCTCGAAAACTTCTCGGTTCTATATTTGATATTATTTGATATCAATTAAACTTTTAGTTACGTAATCGAGGGCGAGATTTTTAAATTCGTTGTTGCCAACTTTGACTGACTAACTGGAATTTAAATTTCGCGCTGGGGATTCAGGTGGTAGCTCTGCTGTAAAAATGACAAGTTGCCACATTTATTTATTTACTTCCTGACATTTCATTCGTTTTGACACTTTAGTTTTGTATTACGAGTTTTTGGTTTAAATAATTAGTGTTATGATACTTTAAGCTTAAAAATGTTTACTAGCAGACCTAGCCGTCACATCGGATCCATTTGATGCGACTTGGAAGGCCTGTTGCAAATTCGTCTAGACGTTATCAAGTCTAACTATACAGCTAATATAATGAAGAAATGACCTTTTTATAGAAATTCCTCAGGATATCGACTGATAAATTAATTATCTTATTATAATTTGCCTTAAAATTAATAATAAGAGTACCATGCATTCTCTTCGTCGATTCGATTTTTTTTTAATTTTTAACTTGTATATGCCATATCAAGTGTGAATAAATTATATTGCAGTTGTTTTTTATTGCCTTAATGGAAAAATTTACTGTGCTCGTAAGTAAGTCGACACTATTGGTAATTTTGTTAACTTTATAGCTAGGGGCTTGTTCAAATGGAAATATTTTTATAGTAGAATTAGTAGCCTAACCAAATATTGCTTTTTTAGAACCACTTTTAAAAGCGAAGTGGTACAAGATTTGCTTAATAGCCGTAAAAAACTCATCGCAACTTTATTAGAATATTTTGAACGGAAAAGCGGTAGTAATGGCCCTTTATGTCCCTTAAGTGCTGTTAAGAAGGTGAATTTTGTTGATGTAAATAATAACTATTTATATATTTATAACTAGCGTGTACCAGCGACTTCGTTCGCGTCGAATTAATCATTTGTAATGGTGATGATAAAGCAAAGCAAGCATTTCCATTAACATAAAAACTGTATAAAATTTTCTCACATTTATGTCAGCATGAGAAAATACGATATGGCGATATTATTATATAACTTGGTAATATTTGAGGGGTAGTTTCATCTCGTTGGAATTTGACTTTAGAAAAATCCGTTTGCCAAAAATAAGCTTTTTACGTCAAGCAGTTTAAGCAGAATCGTGGTTAATCAATTACCCAACTTTTTGGAACACCCTGTATGATTTTTTAAAAAAATTCAAAATTTGTAAAAAAAACAAATAAATTATGCTTGTCCAAGCGTTTTCCCAAAAGACTAACCGTTTTTTAAATAACAAATATTGTAATATTTGAGGGGCGTTTTCACCCTCTTGGAATTTGAGATTCGAGAAACCCCTCCTTATCAAACCTCTGCACCCCACAGTCAATCCGTTTGTCAAAAATCAGCTTTAAACATCAAGCAGTTAAGCAGAATCGTAATTACTCAATGGTCATATTGTATGAAACACCCTGTATAAATTTATAAAAAGTCTTAAAATATGTAAAACAACAAAATAAAATATACGTGTTTAAGACTTTTTCCGAAAAACTCACCGGTTTTTAAATAAAAAAATATTTTAATATTTGAGGAATAGTTTCACCCCCTTAGAATTCGAGTTTCGAAAAATCCCTTCTTATCGAACCTTTACACCCTAAAGTCAATCTGTTTTCCAAAAATCAGCTTTTTACGTCAAGCGCTTTAAGCAAAATCGTGATTAATCAATGACCAGATTTTTCGAAACACCCTGTATACATTTTTAAAAAATCTTAATATATGTAAAAAAACATAATAAAATATATACGTGTTTAAGCGTTTTTTCGAAAACTGGACCGTTTTTTAAATAAAAAATATTGTAATATTTGGCGGGTGGTTTCACCCCCTTGGAACTGGAATTTCGAAAAATCCCTTCTAGAATCAACCTGTATGCCAAAATTGAGCTTCTTACGTTGAGTGGTTTGAGCAGGATCGTGATTAATCAGTATGTCAATCACTTAAGGATTTTATATATTAGGGTAGGATAGCGCAAGAGTACGCACTTAATATTTATTGCTGAATAACATTGAAACAAAGTCGTTTTAAGGTTGAAGTATATTTAGGAAATTATAAAACATGCATTAATTATTAAACATATAACATTCCAAAAGTAATTTAAAAATGTATTTGACAAAAATATCTAAGTTTAAATAAAAACATGCAAATGCGTACTCTTTGGTGAATATTCCCCTAAGAGTTCGCACGTAAATTCCTAAGAGTACGCATTCTAATTGTACGAGTTAACCAATCGTTAAAATTACTTGTCACATAAATCGCATAAGAAACTACCACTTCCAAGATAATTAGAACAGTCCTCATGCCACCAAGTTTGGCAAACACGGCACATTAACCAATCAGAGTAACTAAAATTTTCATTGCATCCTGGACAGATAGTGTTGTCTATTTTAGTTGCTGAAGCTTGTTTACACTTGAGAATTTTTCTTTTTCCCTTTTGTGCCTTTAGTTTTTCTTCTGTCTGTTCTAATAAATGTTCTTTATATGGGGTAGAGGACAGAATTTCAGACCTTTTAGATTTTGTTTTCCTAATTTGCTCGTATTTAGCTTTTGGCAGCGGTAGAATCATTTTGGGTGTTACAGAACAACATGGGTCAGATTCATTTAATTTAACAGAAGATAAACTGTGTCGTGGACTCTGATTTGCATATTCTTTTTGATTTTGATTAAATATTGGACTATTTGTTGGTGTCCTATTTTCTTTTTCTATTGTTATTTTTTGTTTTTCTTGTCGCTGCAATTCAGCCAGTGGTATTTCATCTTCATCAGACCATTCTATTAATTCATTTCTATTTATATCCTCTTGTCCTTGACGGTCTACATCTGAATGAAATTTATCAGTGACTTCAGACGGGGCAAAGTCTGCTGCGGTAAAAATATCAGGATTGTAGGGATATATCCCTGTACAATCAAATGATTTTTCACAGATCTCTATTGTAGCGACTTTTGAATAAGCTGAATGGAAAAGCGCTGCCATTTCTCTCATTGTGATTGGTCTCCCAGGATTACTAACCATCCATTTATCACATTCTCCAGAAAAAGCCGTTTTTAAGGGGAAGAAGAATACTCTGTCCAAAGGCTGAAGCTTATGACTTCCGTGGGGTGGTAATGTTAAAAGTGTAATAAAATGGCTCCTCGCAAATAAAACTGCTTCCAGAGAGCAATGTGAAATATGGTTGTCCATAATTAAAACTACAGGATCCGACTCGGAAGGTTTAACAAAGGTTGAAAAATGGTGCAACCAAACTAGAAATAATTCTGTGTTCATATACCCAGAATCAGATATCATCTTCAGTGTACCTGGAGGTGCCCCATAAAAAAGTTCTTCTTTCATACGCTTTCTAGCGAATATTAAACCTGGCGGTACCCAGGTACCAGAGGCACTCATACAGCATACTGCAGTAACTAATTGACCTCTGTCGGCTGACACTATTTTTGATACTGTTCTTTTGCCCTTTACTGCATAAATTTTATGGAGCTTGTTTGGAACAGTACAAAGTCCCGTCTCGTCCATATTAAAAATTCTGTGTGACAGCACTTTTGTTTTTTCGTAGACAAGTTTTAAATTTTTAAAAAATCTGTCACACTGGACTTTATTAAATCCTGTAGCCCGACCTAAACTACATTTTTCTGGAGCTCTTAAAGATAAACGATTTCTAGCAGCAAAGTCCTGTGCCCAATGTTTCCCTGCCATTAAATTTTGTTCGTTAAACCTATGAGAAATGTGGTTTAGTTTCGCGTATTGAAAAGCTAGTGATCTAACATCCTTCATACGAAGTCCGTAAAATCTCGCCTCCAGATCGCGAATATGATCCGCCAATTCTTTTTCTTGTGCTTTCGAAAATATTGGTTTAAATCTACCCAAGCTAGTTGGAACAGTGCCCTAAAAAAAGTAAAACGAGGAATAGTTTAAAATTTTAAAGTAATCCTACATATTACTTCACGCAACCTCTTCCTTAGAGTACATTCATTTACCCCCAATGCCTTTGCAACCGATCTTTTACTCTCTCCCTTTGATATTCTATCGGCTGCCATATTTAACATTTCTTGCGTAAATTTTAGTACTCT